AAGAAGAACAAGAAGAGGAAGAAGAATCTTTATTTAATTCTGGAGTTTTACTATCTGATTCGTAAACAAATTTGATATCTAGACCCACCTGGGTCATTCCAGATTTGATTTGCGAGCTATTGCTGGTGGTTGCGAGCCAGGGACAAGGCAAATGACAGTTTCATGGTTTGAGTTCTGCACTGTTGTTTTTACCAAAAGTATGATTGTATGGTGACTTCCTGTCCTGTGGAAATGTAGACAACAGGCTACGTACAACATGATGAGACAAATCTGTAAATCAAACAGTTACTGCAGAGAAACTAAACTCTGACTCTAAAAGAGCATCATTTTGCCAGTTCTTTGTTATGGAGCAGAATTCTGGAGAATGACCGAAAAAGAATGCGAACCAGATATTCACCTTCCAGCAAACATGTCTACGTCGAATTATCAAAATTTGCTGACCAGATACAATCTCAAACACTAGACTACGTCAAGTCACAAACCGAGAAACTCTAGTCAGTATGATAACTAAAAGAAGATGGAAATGGCTTGGCAACGATATGAGAATGAATCCTTATATACCTACCAAAACAGCTCTTGCACAAGAGAGCGAAAAAAAAAAAGGGGGTTGCCCAAAAACAATATGGGGACGAACAATGGAAAGTAAACTCAGTGCTGTATCTCTGACATGGAAAACTGCACTGAAGATTGCACTCCTCTCTGAAGCCTCATGTGTCACTAGACACAAAGGGAATAGATAATAATGATACGTAGAATACAAAGACTTACAATATATTCTAAAATGTTGGTAGCAAAATGACACATGTACGCGTCGACACAAACACATTCCTACACAAACATGCTGATACATAGCATGTTGACACACAAACATGCAACCAAATTAATAAATAGTTTGGAATACAAAGAAATAGACTAATAGGCGGACAAACATATCGACAGACAGACAGACAGACAGACAGACAGACAGACAGACAGACAGACAGACAGACAGACAGACAGACAGACAGACAGACAGACAGACAGACAGACAGACAGACAGACAGACAGACAGACAGACAGACAGACAGACAGACAGACAGACAGACGGACAAACAGACAGACACACACACACACACACACACACACACACACACACACACACACACACACACAGACAGACGGGACCCATTAAAAAATCAAAACAATTAACATCTGATTGTTCTAGTTGTAAATGGTATATCAAAGGGAGGTAAGCGTATTAAAAAAAATCAATTTTATTTAGCTTTCTTATCTTTCGTGGACATGTAAATCTTTGAAATTAAAATTTCTAAACATTCTATGGACTTTTCGCAGTCAAAGTTCCATTAGAGATCTGAATTAAATATATAAATGGTAACAGTGTTCCTGTTGTAAGAGTCAAATGAAAAAGCTGGCATGTAAGTGTATTTTGGATGTATTAAACAAAAAATACAACCAAACATAAAAAGAAAATAACATACAAACCCCCACCTATACCATTGCAGTATAGGATGCAAAGTTATGTTGCTTTTAAGCCCCACCCCGGTTGTGGTCTGAGGCCCTAATATAACCTAACGGTTAAACTGGGTTTCTGAAACCTGTCACCGGGTGATCCTTATCCGAATGGTGGCACTTTATGTCACCGGGTGCTTATTGCAAGGTGTCATAATGTGGTTGGGTTAAACTTCAATCAATTATTAAAACCCAACTTCTTCTTCTTCTTCTACGTTCGACATCAGTCATGCTAAACACTGAGTCCCGTCTAGGTCACAAATAGGATCGTGCGTTTAAGGTCGCCACCGGTCTCCCATAGCAACTACTCTGGGTTGAGTGAGAAGCAACAACGAAATTCATAATCTGTGTCAATCACCCCTGATCACTGGCATCATGAGAGCTAATAGACTGAAATGGTTGGGACATTTTGCAATAATGTCAGATGACAGAGAAGTAAAAACTGTTTACACGAGAGAGATGAATGGTCGTGGACCACGAGGCAGAACAAGAAGGCGATGGAGAGATTAAACAAAAATACAGACCTGCAAACACATGGTGTGAAGAACTGAAAAACTGCACTGAAGATTGCACAGGACGGGAAAGTATGGAATTACAAATGCAAGGGATGCTAATCATACGCAAGCTCAGAAGAGCTTTTAACCTCTTTGCATGCTTTCTGCTAATTTTGTTAATGAAAACGCAAAGCGAAATTGTGCACGAAAATGAAGAAGACGACGGTTGGAAACAAAAAGGATCACACTCCACGATTCAAGCTATTATACCGTCATACAACAAATAGTAAAAGTTTGAGGTTTGAACAACGGATCAACATCATGACACACGGATGATAACCCACAAGTGTTCCGTTCTTCTAGCTCAAGTCTGAGTCCGAAGAAGCTCAGCACAGTGCGCAGCTCTGTAGCACCGGTGTGGATCCTGAAATACTTTTAGCAAATTTGTATCTTAAAATTTTGCTTGGGCAGCGCTCTTAGGCTAATCTTTTCGATTTCCAACTGCCAATGATTTTTTTTTACGTGCGCAACAATACACACGGGCGTCCGATCTTACTACCCAGAGACTAGGAGGAATTTCTAGAAGTCCAAGTCCACGTTAAAAAAAAATCCCAGCACTTAAAGGGGATTGAACCCGGAACCTCCAGCACTCGAGGCGGACACCATGCCTCGAGACCACGCAACTTCCTTATCACAAACAAACGCTCAAACTAAGACAAAAGGTGAAAAAAAAAATGGACATGAAAGCAAAACTAAATCCCGTGAAATTGTTTCTCTATCTTTATTTAAATGTAGTATTAACACATGACTGAGATATTCTTTAGAGTTAATATTTTAAATAAAATAGCACATCAGCTTAAAATGTTATTTTCGTTTTGTCAAAGAATTACAATTAATTTTATGAAATAATTAGTGCAAAGACGTGACATTAGATATTAAATTACTAATGTGGAACATTTGAGAGAACTGAACCAACTCTACTGATTTGAAAAGGTGGGGACATTGTGCTTGCAAGAGAGATTACACACAACGATTATCGTGTAACTAAAAGCGACTGCATTACGAAGACAGTAACTGTTAACACAAAGAATGGAAATCAGTGGACCCCTACAAAACAGCTTGATGATCTGGACTTCGCTGATGATATTTCTTTTCTGTCTCATTCACGGAATCAGATGCAAGATAAATTAAATATACTTAATGCAAGATCACAACAGCTAGGTCTGAAAATCCATGAAGGAAAAACAAAGATAATGAGAATAAATCAGGCAAAGAGTAATGTGGTTTCTCCTAATGGCACCCCACTCCAAGATGAGGAGTCGTTCACCTATTTGGTCAGTAATGAAGATAAAGATGGGGGAATTGACAGAGATATTAAAATAAGAATACAAAAAGCAAGTGAATATTTCATAGTACTGGGGAATTTGTGGAGGTCAAAATAAATTAAAATAAATACTAAACTCAAAATTGTTAATTATAATGTCAAATCAGTACTTTTGTATGGGGCGAAAACACGGAGAACTAAAGCAATCACTAATAAATTACAGACATTCATTAACTATTGCCTGCGCTGAATAGAGGAAATTAAATGGTATGATAGAATAACTAATGTATACCTTTGGGAGAGAATTAAGCAAGCATCAGTGGACCAAGAGGTGAGGTAAAGACACTGGCAATGGATAAGACACACATTGAGAAAACCGGAAAACAGCATAACTAGAATGTCTTTGCATTGAAACCCACAGTGGCATAGTAATAAAGCAATGCCAAAAAACACACGAAGAAGAGAGCTGAAGATTGAAGTTACACAGATGGGAAGGACATGGGGAGAGCTCCAGCGAAGGACAGAACGACTGGGCGAGAGTTGGTTGATGGCCTATGCTCCATTGGGGGATTTAAAAACAGAAGAGGAAGAAGAAGAAGAAGAAGAAGAAGAAGAAGAAGAAGAAGAAGAAGAAGAAGAAGAAGAAGAAGAAGAAGAAGAAGAAGAAGAAGAAGAAGAAGAAGAAGAAGAAGAAGAAGAAGAAGAAGAAGAAGAAGAAGAAGAAGAAGAAGAAAAAGAGGTACAGTAAGAAGAAGAAAATCGATGTAATGTAAACATCTTGAGATCCAGCATCTTTTCTGTGGCTGCCTATGAAATCATAAATTCTTACCTTAAATAGAAAAACAAATCAGAGCTTTTGAACTGAAGTGCTAAAGAAAAATTATTAGAATACCTCCCAGACAAGAAAAAGAAACAGAAAGACAGTCTACATCATTCGAACATTAGGGATAACAGTTTCATTATCAGTATCTTGTCCCAAAAGCTGGGGTATTTTGGTAATGTTAAATGTTATGTTGCCTGGAGAGAACAATGCTAGATGGTGTCGTTTCCAACAAACAGTTCAAGGCATAGGCCTCTGTGAAAGTAGACTTCAAACATTCAAGACGCATTGGCTATGGAAACACAAAGGGTGGTGCATTGATTACAGAAAGATGGATCTCTGGCGTGCCATAAAGAATGCGATGTTCTGTAAAGATGTTGACTTATGCTATTTACTATTTGCTACACATAAGGACGTCAAAACAAAATTGTGGAAGAGAATAAGAGAAGCATGAAAAAAAAAAAAACAACAACAACAACAGAGCATAGGGAGAAGGCAGGAGGGGTGAACAAGAAGAAGAAGAAGAAGAAGAAGAAGAAGAAGAAAGAAGAAGAAGAAGAAGAAGAAGAAGACGAAGAAGCAGATGAACAACAAAAACAGCAATCATTAGAAAGAAAGAAAGAAAAAAAGAAAGAAAGAAAGAAAGAAAAAAAGAAAAAAGAAAGAAAGAAAGAAAGAAAGAAAGAAAGAAAGAAAGAAAGAAAGAAAGAAAGAAAGAAAAGTTGAAAAAAGAAACAGACATTAATATAGACAAGTAGTTATATACCACAATTTGTTTTAGAGGCCTTATTACGTTGGGAAAGAAGAAGAAAACGATGTCATCATCAATTAAATCGTTGCATATTTCAGTGCTTTAACATGGAATTTTGATCTGCTCAACATTGTCACTATTTGAATATATTGTCTTCTGAATCCAGCTGATGAACTCACTGACGCGTGTGTAAACTCCAGGCTTGTTAGGTCTAGCACATCCGTGTCCCCACGATACAATGCCATACAGAACTGTATAATCTGTAAAATATAATTGTTGCATTCTTATCTTTCTTTGCGAATTAATAAAGGGGAATGCATAGTCTCGAGGCGTGGTTGCCGCCACGAGTGCTAGAGGTCCCGGGTTCAATCGTCGGTTAAGGCTGGGATTTTTTTCAAGTGGACTTGTAGTAATTACCCCTGGTCTCTGGGTAGTGAGATCGAACGCCCGTGTGTATTGTTGCGGCCGTAAAAAATACCTTGGCAGTTGGAAATCGAAAAGAGTAGCCTAACGGCGCAGCCCGGACACAATTTCGAGTTAAAATCTGCCTAGGATCCTCGCCGGTGGTATTCATCATTCTTCTCCTAACTTAAGTCTGAGTCTGAAAAAGCTCAGCACAGTGCACAGCTTCCTTAGCACCGGCGAGGATCCTGAAATGCTTTGGGTAGATTTGTAACTCCACATTTTTGCCCAGGCATCGCCGTTAGGCTGCTTTTTTCGATTTTCGAAGAGGCATGGTGGGGGTAGGGGTGGGGGGGGGGGGGGGGGGGGTAATTACTAGATGTCCAAGTCCACGTGGAAAAAATCCCAGCCCTTGCCGGGGATTGAATCCGGAACCTCTGTCACACGAGGCGGATACCATGTCTCGAGACCAGCAGCCACCTAGATTTAGGTTAACAACACATAAAAGAAAAAAACAGACAAAGAAGACTCTTGAGGAGTATAGGTGAGTAAGTTTTACCCCATCATGACATCACACAGAGCGATCAACATCCGATGACACACATCGCTGCCATACCTGTGGAGGAGTCCTGCTTATTTTAGCGATCACCCCCCCCTTTTTTTTTACATTGCCAGAATCTCGATGCTGTTTTTTTTTTCTGGTCGAATTTACGTCCTGTAGTTTGCCGTTGCCTCTGGACGGTCGGCTTATCGATACCACTGTCAAATCCAACGAAAGGCACAAAGGCCCGCAGCTGGGATCGAACCCGGCGGATTGAGTTTGTGTGTCTGTTCGTGTATGTATTTGTATTTGTGTCTTCTGTAATGTGTATTTATGTTTCAGGTGTGTGTTGTCCATCAAGATGATGATGACCACTCTTTTTCATCAAGTATGAGGACGAAGATGACTGATGAGACCGATGCGGGCCCGAAAAGTTCTTGGACAATGAGGACAGGTAATGAGCTTGTGCTAGGGAGATTATCTCCTGCAGTCGCCTTTCTGTCCATCCTTTTCCTAATAAGTCTTGCTGTTCTGTTTGCTTCACATGTAGCCGCGCCCCTGTGTAGAGCTGCACGCCATGCATTTAGGTCTTGAGAGGCAGCCTCCCAAATGGTGTCATTCATCCCAAATGCTTTGAGTGAAGACTTCAAGGTGTCCTTAAAGCGTTTCTTTTGCCCGCCTTGGGAACGTTTCTCATTTTTCAGCTCACCATAGAAGAGTTTGTTTGCAGCCTGTGATCTGGCATGAGTGCCACACGACCAGCCCAACGAATTTGATACTGCATCAGTAGACATCTCTACAGTAAACACTTGTTAATATGAATTTGCCCAAGAAAAATACTCGGTATGCACGAACACAGTTTTGCTTCTGTCAGGGACATACTATTCTGGAAGAAGAGGGGGTTATAGGTGATTACTGGTCTCTATACCATGTTCTAGGCCTCGCCCACCCCACCCTATTAAATTCTGTGGAAACCAATGGGCCTAAAAGACTTGGTTCTAGAAACCCTGTATCCTACTATGACACAAAGAGTCCTTCCTTTCTTGTTTTGTTACATAAATTCGTCCTATTTAACCAGCATTCCTGAAGGTGGAGCTTAAGGTTATAATTGTGACTAGGTTTTTATGTGCCATCTAAAATAGTTTAGCAGTGCTCGCCACTAAGTAGCCCTGATATTGACTATTGCAGTGTTGATACGATCTGAAAAAAACAGACTCAAATACTGTCCCGACCCACGACGAAGTCGTCTACCAGCCAGCTAATGGGCGACATGGTCGCCGATGATTCCACAAAAAGTAACTCACTGTCAGCTTTAAAGACTATTGGTCCTCCACTGTCGCCCTGACACGAGTCGATGGCGCCATCAGGATAGCCAGCACAGAACATTCGCTCTGTGATCAAACAGGGATAATAGTTTTCACATTCCCTTTGGTCAATCAAAGGCACCGTGGCTTTCTGTAACACGTCCGACAGTTTCGAACTACCTGAAAACAAAAGACAAATATTGAGGATACGTTTTAGCCGAATCCGCTGTGGTCGAGAGTCTAGACGCTCCGATTGTGAGGCAAAGGCTGTATCTTTCAATTCTTTTATAGCTTAATCCCCCCACCCCCCACCCCCACCTCACCCCCACCACGAGTAAATCGTGACAGTAGGAAAGTTGGAGAGAGGAGAAGCAGAGGGAGATCGAGAGAACAGGAACTGGAATGTTTGACATCATGGCATGGACGATCATCTGTCTCAAAGTTAACTGAAAGTACACAAGACAGAAGGTTATGGATAGACATGACTACCAACGCACGGGGTCCGCGGCTTAGGCTTTGCGAGTCCGACTCGTAATTCCAAGGTACTGCGATCGAAACCCACTGCTGGCTGCGTGGATTTTTATCAAGGTATGGGGCGTCGCAGGTGGACTCAGCCAAAAATGGGTATCAGGAAGTATGTCCTGGGGAAGGTTAAAACCAAATGCCTATCGACCAATCAGCTTACTTAGGTGTGTAGCAAAATTGATGGAACACATTGTAATTAACAGACTAATGGGATATCTAGAAGAAAAAGCACCTTCTGACCACAACATCCAGGGTTTAGAAAGTGAAGGTCCAGTGAAGACCAAATAACATACATAGAATAGAAAATAGAGAATGCTTTTCAAGAGAAAAAAACACACCCTAGAAGTGTAGGTAGACATAGAAAAAGCATTTGATAAAGTGTGAAAGGAGAGACTAAACGTAAAACTACAAAAACTGCATATTTGTGGGAAAATCTACTACTGGATCAGTCACTACCTTGAGAACAGAACCGCCAGGACCAAAGTACAAAGACAAACCAGCAACAACAAAAAAAATGTTAGAACAAGGTGTACGAAAAAGGGGCGTATTGTCCCCAACATTATTCTTCTCTTCTTCTTCAGCCTTTCTATCCTCCAATGGAGCATAGGCCCTCAACCAACTCACGCCAAGTCGTTCTATCCTTCGCCATTACATGAAGCTCTCCCCACGTCCTCCCCATCTTTCTAACTTCATTCTCCAGCTCTCTTCTCCATGTGTTTTTTCCCCCTTGCTTTATGCCTATGCCTCTGTGGGTTCCAATGCAAATACATTATAGTTATACTGTTCTGTTTTTTCAGTGTGTGTCCTATCCAACGCCAGCGTCTTTTCTTCACTTTTTGGTCCACTGGAGCCTGTTTAGTTCTCTCCCAAAGTTCTACATTAGTTATTCTATCATACCATTTAATTCCGTATATTCTGCGCAGTTACCAGTAAATGAAATGTCTGTTATAATTTATTAGAATTTGCCTGAGCTGTTCTCCATGTTTCCGCCCCATACAAAAGTACATATTTTACATTCAAATTAAAAATGTTTAGTTTAGTATTTCTTTTAATTTCTTTTGACCTTCACAAAATCCCTAGTGCTATGAAAGCTCCTCTTGCCTTCTGTATAATATCTCTAGAACAAGGTGTACGCCAAAGGGGCGTATTGTCCCCAACATTGTTTTTAGCAAATATAAATTATATTATAAATAAATTCCCAACCAGAATACACACCTCGTTCTTTGCAGACGACTTAGCTATATGGACTAGCGAAGAGCATATTATTGAAGTCAACTTTAGGATGCAGCAAGGCTTGTCAGTCTTAGAGAAATGGTCAGGAGATGTAAAAGTAAGTAAAGCAAACATCCCTTATTACGCCTAGGGCACATCGGGTATATGGGCATAGCGTCCCATATTTTTACAGACCAATCGGCACTGGATGGGTAATGTGGTCAGCATTATGCAGGTCGTCTTTACTTCACCAGGACAGCCATCCTGGTACCCATTTAAGGCTGGGTCGACCGGCGACGCCCCATACTACGATAAAATCCACGCAGCCAGCAGTGGGTTTCGATCGCGGTACGCTGGATTACGAGTTGGACTCGCAACGCCTAAGCCATGGACGCCGCTGGTCAGGAGATGTAGAGCTCTTAAACTACGACGCTGGAATAAAATGAAACAGACCCATCGTTCTGTATACTACTACCACACAGAACATCCCTCAGCATCTGCATGGGAAATACAGTGTAAAACTACAGTGGATGATAAAGTCTACTGCAGTAAAAGTTTAACATGCAGAAAAAGCTAAGTACTCATTTTATGATGAAGGTCAGTGTTTCCCAAACTGTTCTTAGTCGCAGTGCCTTTTTTTTTCAATTAAAATTTTCCCCCGGCGCCCTAACCATAAAAAAAAGTATGACTATTCGTATGTAAAAGATAAAATCAAATAAAACATGTGTATCTTTGTTAATTTTGTCTTTATTAATATTAAATTACCAATTAATTATATTTCATTTTTATTACAGCGACCGCCGAAAATCCAGCTTCTCACAAATACGAATTCGAAAATGAAATTAAAACCGCTGAGCCTTATCACTTTGAAAGGGATGTTAATCTTTTATTGAAAAAAAAAAAAATTATGTTAATTCCATGCTGCCAAATTTTGCTTTCAACCTGTTATCGCAACATAACACAATACGATTCTCTTTTTCTGCAGAAGTAAATTCAGATGGAGCACTAGTGTTAAGTAGATCTTGAATCCATGCAAACTTATTGAAATATTCATTTTGAAAATATTTCCTAAACCAGATGATTAGCTGTGATAAGTGCTCCTTAAGCATGGTTTTTATATCTCGGGAAAGTCAAACATCACAAACATCTTCTTTGAACTTTCTATTTCATAGTTTTGAGTTTTTTTTTTTTTTTTTTCTAAATTAAAAACTGATATTTTTCCGTCGATTTCAAAAAGTTCATGTTTTTGTTCCCTGCAGAGAGCGATTGGGAGAATTCAGCTTTTCCAAAATGTCGCGTAAACATGCCAGTCGTATTAAAACAATCGGAATTCGTACAATAATCCGCATCTATGTATCTTTCTTCTTCAGGGACAATGAAACTTTCTTGTCGCAATTCAAAGGTATGTGATAAAACAATAATCACGAGAGCCATCGTACACTGCTATAGTACAACAAAGACGAATGTTCGGCTCACGTATCCTTACACAGTTAAATTAAAAAAAATAAAACTTGCTTTCAATAGACGAGATGTTTTTTAAAATTTACCATATTCACCACACATTCTAACACCTGATCAGTGCAGGACTGAGGTGATTGGACGCAAGCACTTCTCTGGACCAGCCAGGTGTGGGGCACCACTTGTGACCTGGGAAATAAGGGTGACCACACAACAATGAGATGCCGTGACTCAAGAAAATAATCGAGAAGGCTAACCCCGTTAACAATGACCCGCAGAAGTCGGATGTGTTGACCGAAAGGCATAAGTTTCGCTGTCGGGCTGTAAAGGGACACAACGCAATTACATCTTCTGGTGATCGCCGAAGAAGAAGAATAAGAAATAGAATACACATTTTCGATTACTTACTTTCATTCAAATGTCCCCATCCGGAAACTAGGAGCTCGCCGACCATAAGAGAAGTTGTTTGTATAAGTTTGTTAGTACAGGCTGGCTTTACCATGCCGTTGAACTTAATTCCACGACCATCGAACGCTGGCTTGATCTGGATCAAAGCTACATCATAGTCAAGCGGTTTTTCTTCTATAAAATTGAAAAAAAAAAAAAATTAAAAACAACTTTCATTACTGCTTGCTGTTCAACTCTCTCTTAAACTAAAAAATCTTCGCCGTCGAGGTAGTCGCAAGAGGCCTATCTCCACGTCCACCCACAATGAACGAAAGCACCTGGACTTGAGAGGAAATGGCACTAAAACAACTGGGCGAAGCAGCGGAAAGTGCTTGTAGCTGACTTTGGACGCAACAGAGTGTCGTGGAGGATGGGCTTCGGTAGACTGGTGTGAGCTCCTAGTGGAAAAGAACTTTTCATCACTTTAATGGCCAAAGTCCGATAAAAACGTCTGCCACTGTCTCCCTGCCATTTGCCAAAGTATAAGGTCTATTCGATGAGCCAGCCGTAAGCTTGTTACTTTAGTCGTAAAGGTAGGCGGCTAATTTGCTACCGCAGCGACACACATATATATAAAACACCAAACCTCATAATACCAGTTGCAAACCATCTTTTCAACGTGTCCGATCTCGATTGTCCGCTACACGGAGCAGGAAATGTCCGAGTCCTGGCGTCATGACCTATGTCGACCTACCCTCCACGATTAATAGGAGGTTAATGGGCCAAAACAGTTCTCGACAATGGACCTTTTTACTGATGATCGTGAAGCTGCTTCAGTGCACGATTCGATGTGGAGTTCTTCTTCTTATTATCTTCATTGGTTAGTTCCACAAAAGTTTCCCCAAAGACCGCTGACATACACACTAGCTCACTTCTGATTGGTCGACCTTCAGTCACCCGACTTTCGAACACTGCTGCGGGGTGTTCGGCAATGCCGTTGATATGGCATGTTGTATATTTAAGCACGTCAGTGCTTTTAACACTGTAAAAACATTTAGAAACTGGGTCTAACACACAACCGCCCCAACCCTCTAGAGAGTGCTGCAACCTATGTCACAGGAATTCTCTTCCTAGTATGTTTGGGGAGATTATCGTGGAAATGACCTTTTTATTTACAGTGGCAACGAACTGAATGTTGGGAGGGGTGGGGCATGTTTTAAGCCCAGGACCTTAGGACCGCATGATTAGGGCAAGGGCCACAGAGTGTGCAGGTTAGGATTGTGTGTATGTTCACCTGACAGGGGGGAAAAAGGTTAACTTTACTCAAATCTCCCCAAACAGAGTAGGTCACTTTTCATACACAATTTTGTTGGGCTGGTCGACTTTCTTAAAGGTTACAGGTGTGTCCCGCTCTATTGTTTTCTTTCTGTGTTGTCTTGCGTTTAAGTTTTCGTTCTGAGAAATAGAATTCCTGTGACATGGGTTGTGTTAGGGCCAGTTGCTCCAAGTTTTTGGAGCGTTAAAATATATGTGCTAAAATAAACAACGCGATATCAACGGCATCCCGGAACACCCCCGTAACCTTGTGCCAAGGTGACATGTGTAGGAACTACTAGTCAGAAGTAATCTAGTATTATATGGGCGGTCGTAGGGAGATTAATGTTACGTTTCAAACAAGCAAACAAAATTTTTTTTTTTTTAAATTACCGAGGATTCGAAGCTCAGTCTCAAGAATGAGATTCAGCTTTTTACTGCAGAGTATCATGCTACCATGTTTGGACTCCAGGTTACTTTAAAATCGAGGCCAGTGTATCCGTGTGGTTGAGCGAGGTTTTCGGGGATTCGTAAATGAGGATTCTCACCCGAGTGCTGACTGTTTGTTTACGTCAAAAACTCTCACTACTGTCTGTTTTACCATTTTTGGGGCGGTGTAGACAGAGGGGCCTTGAGCCTTTGGATATAGGGCAGCCTGACTAGTGCTGTCGCCATGGACTGTGCAAGTTAAGATGTTTAATTTTGTATCGGACAGAAAAACTCTTATCACCTTTTTGTTGGTCCGCCTCGAGTGTGAGAGGTTCGTGGTTAAATCCCTGGTAAGGGCTGGGATTTTTTTCACGTGGACTTGAACTTCTAGTATTCCCCCTGGTCTCTGGGTAGTGAGCCCGTGTGCATTGTTGGTCACTATAAAAAATCCATTGTCAGTTGGAAATCAAAAAGAGTAACCAAAAAGTGCTGCCAGGGAAAAATTTGGATTTAAAAAACTAACCAAAGTATTTCAGAATCTTATATTATTATTTTGTGCAATCTTTCGTTGTCAATTGAGACGGGACAAAGAATTCTAAAAAGCAGTACAAATCCCATATTGATATATGGAAGTGAATCATGAAAAGTTGCTAGATAAGGGAATACAATTTTAGAAGCTGTGGAGAAGTGGTTTTTATAGACGAATAGTGAGAATACCTTGGGCAGATACAATGAGAAATGAGGACGTCTTGAAAGAAACTGGCTCACGTAGAGTACTAATTGCCCGCATCAGATAGAGACAATCTATGGTCCTGTGATGAGAAAGAGAAAACTGAGGTACATTATGACAGTAGGAAAGTTAGAGGGGAGGAGAGGCAGAGGGAGACCGAAACAATGTGAGCCAAACAGTCTTGCATCATGACTTGGAGGATGATCTATGTCAGAGTTGATTGAAAGTACACGAGACAGAAGGTTGTGCATAGACTTGAGTACAAACGCCATACGGCATAGACTTTAAGAAGAAAAATTATTTCTTCCAAAGTAAGACGGAACATAATTTACTCACTGTTAAAGAGCTCATGATTATATATGCCTTCTACTTCAAACACTTCCTCGCCATAGTCTTCCTGATTTAAATTGAATTCGCCAACTGTCACTTGCCACTTCCATTTAGGAAACTCACTGAAATGTACAATATATTGTTTCTCTGATTCAAGCATAAATAATTTACATTTGGAAATTAATCATTTGGTTTTTATGAGCTTCATTAGAGAATGTACTCACTGTACCTTAACAGTTGGTTATGTGTCCAGTACAGGAAGTTGCATAACCAGCTCCAACGTTTGTCGTCTCCTTATGAATGGTTTCATCAGGCATGTTACTGGTCTCAAGGCATGGTGTCCGCTTCGAGTGCTTGAGGTTGGGATTTTTTCACATAGACTTGGAATTCTAGGAATTTCCCGTGTCTGTGGGTAGTGAGATCGGACGCCCGTGTTCTTTGGCAGTTGGAAATCGAAAAGAGAAGCTTAACGGCTCTGCCCAGGCAAAATTTGGAGTTTAAAATCCACATAAAATATTTCATGATCCTCGCTTAAGCTACAGAGCCTGTGCTGAGCTTCATCGGAGTCAGAGTTAGAAGAAGAACGGAGCACTTATGGGTTACTACCCGTGTGCTATGATGTTGATCCGTTGTTCAATACCTCAAACCTAAAAACAGGCCCATTACGCACTTCAACAAGCATGCGTAATAGGCATTTCATTAAGGGCTTGTAAAATCCTATTTGTTTAGCAGATATCTAGCCCTGTATGCCCTATACGCCTAAAGGCGTGGAAAAGGGTCCTTTACCTTTTTACTTATATAATCTGGAGAGCCTATGTCGATGCATCCTAAAATATCGTGGGGAATAAAGACCATCGGCGAGGATCCATTTTGTTTCCTGTCTATAACATTAAAAGTCAGCAATAAAGGGCCCTTTTCAACGTCTTTAGGCTATAGGGCATACAGGGTTAGACCTATATCTTTAAAGACCAATCGGCACAAGATGAGTGATGTGGTCAGTTTCATCTCGGCTACCTTTACTTCCCAGGCCTGCACCTGGTACCCACTCAAGGCTGGGTCTACCTGGGAGCAAAGGTCATTTTTGAAAAAAATGTTATGTCTATAAAATTAACCCATATTTTTTTTGCCCCCGTCAATAAAGGATAGCGGTAGACGCAATGTTTGCAGTTGTCGCTGGCGCATGATTGAAGCATTTTTACATGACCTGGTTGCCGCGATGTTGTAACTGAAAGTAGCGACTCCAATACTACTTTTGTGCTTGTGTGTAATAATAAGAAGAACAACTCCCCAGGGGAGCATGTACAGCAGGAGTCCACCGATCATCAGTAGGAGATCCCTAGTCGACAATTGTTTTAGACCATGACCTCCTAGACAACTTCAGAGTGTGGGCCGACCTGGGTCATGACTTCCAGACCTCGATCTTCTCCTGCTGCACTTTACCGGATGTTCTCGGACAGGAAAAAGACAAAAATGGTGACTATGCAACGGGTACTGTGAGATTCGAAGTTAAATATATGTATTGTCGCTGAGGTAGCCCATTAGATCAACCGGCTAGCTCAACGATCAAGTTACAAATAGACACTTACTTGAAACAATGAGCGGCACTGAGTAACCAGTATTCGCTGATTATTGTTGCCCCACAGAAGTGGCCAAATTGCCAAAACCCATCTATTAGTTGCCACGTCTTTACGCTGGCTTGCCACGGAATCTCACCAGGTCTGGCTGCTCTACCACCTACGATCTTGTTCAGAAGTTGTGCTCGACCAGTAGAATTCCCTTTGATTAAATGGATGAGACAGTGAACATGTGAAATGACGTATGTGTAATATATTGACATCGTTTGCAACAAAATTTTTGGTGCTTTATTTATATCTTACCTCAAACAGGGGAAATCCACAGGTCATGGGACAGTCTTATATTTCAGGAGGTGGTAGATAGGCTGTATGCAGTCGTAGGACCTAGGCTGCACTCTCTCGTGGGACGTAGATGGTTTGGGGTTAGGGCCAGTTCTAGATGTTTTGGGGTCGTTAAAAGCATCAGAAAGCCGTGAAACCCAGTCTTACCACCTTCTTAAATGTTGGACTGTCCTGTGACGTCATGTGAGGTAGGATATTAATAATGCACCAAATATTTTATTAGAAATTGATGTAAACTAGTAATGCATTTGATGAGAAGCAAATGTTAAATGCAGAAAAAGGAAGCGACATCACGGCACTCGAGACACTCACACAAGCGCTCCGTCACTATCTTCAGCAGCAAGCAAAGAGTTCCAGTTCCAGTCACATAAGTAACTGTCTGACTGTGTATCTGTCTCGCTGTTTTCTCAAGTGTTGAGCGTCAGCCAGATCTCTTAGTAACTGCTCGCAGCGCCATTCTCCCAGACAGTAATGATCCATCTGTGCCTCCGTACTGTTTACTCGCTCCCAAAGAGCTCCCACGACATCTAACTTGTCATTCATCATTTCATCATCATGTTGTGCATATCCGGGACGTTTGTCTGCTCATTTCCTAACACACCAGCATGACCTGGAGAAAAAATCCGAAGGATTCTAACGACCATGAACCTCTGAAGTCATGCTTTGCCACTTGTCATGGAGCATGCCTGTCTCAGCGTTGATGAGAAGCAGGGAAATAGTATTGTTGGCAGGCACATGTCTGATAGTGTTAAACTCTGCTACAGCGAGGTTCAAAAGCCCCAACCTATGGTGGTGCCAAGAGTGGCTTGTTAGGGGGCACATATTACGCCCCTGTGCAGTCATTTATTTTACACACAGGTTCTGTAGCACCAGCGAGGAACCGGAAATACTTTGGGTGGATTTTAAACTCCATATTTTGCCCTGGCAGCGCAGCTAGGCTACTCTTTTCGATTTCCAACTGCCAAGGAATTTTTTTAATGTGCGCAACAATGCACACGGGCGTCCGATCTCACTACCCAGAGGCCAGGGGGAATTAGTAAAGTCCAAGTCCACGTGAAAAAATCCCAGCCCTTTCCGGGGATTGATCACAAACCATCTAGCACTCGAGGCGGACACCATGCTTCGAGACCGCGAAGCCCCTAAGTGGTGTAACTATTGGTTTCATTATTTACCTTAATATTAAACAACATTGAAGAGAATGCCTTGTGACACCATACCATACAAAGCATACATGGAAAGAGAAGAAGGACGTAGAGCACGGGGTAGACCAAGAACAAGATGGAAAGATAACATCAGAGAAACTCTACAACAGCACGATGTGCCTATGGTCAAGGCAGCCAGAAGAGCTAGAAACAGAACCTTATATCATCCGTCCATCATCTCTATTGGTTCGTTGCCACCTATTTTAGGTCTTGAATGTTTATTAGGCCCCTGGCTGAGCCCTCCATGAAGATTGTTCTACTCAGGGTCTCTCTTGGTCTCCGCGGGTCTCTTCCCTTCCGGTGTCCATAAAAAGGCTTGATGGAGAAATCTTTGTCTTATCCATTCTCAGTGCATTGCTGATATAGTTCCAGCGGCGCTTTCTTACAAAATTAAAATATTATAAAATACCTGTGCCGGTTAAAGATCCATAAATTATTCTGCAGGTAAATGGCAAACAGGGACAGTCACACGCCCCTCCCCCACCCCCACCACACACAAGCACACGCACATATAAACGCACACACATACAAGTAATGACTACAGTTTGAAAAACATAAAGTAGGGACCAAGATGCTTTTAATCATTTGCTGTTTTGCTGAAAGGGAGACATTTGATGTTTCGTGAATGCATTGCCTATATTAACACAGTTTTGTCGTCGGAAGTACCACTTTTTTAAAATTTCCTTCGTTCATTTGACAGTTGACGAATCTTGACTGGTCTTCGCAAGCCATCTCCAGCACTTGTCTGCATTTGTAGTTGAAATAGTAGAGGAACAAGCTGAACGTAATTGTTGTTGTCATGTACTATTTCAACTACAATAACAACTACTACTGCTGCTACGGGAGTCGAAATAGTGTAGCGGATAGACGCTTGCATGCGGATCGCAAGGTCGGAGGTTCACTCTCTGGCGGAGCCGTACTTTTTTTCTTTAAAAATGGCCTTGACTCCCAGGTCGACCTAGCCTTGAGTGGGTACCGGGTGCAGTCCCGAGAAGTAAAGGCGGCTGGCATGATGCTAACCACATAGCCTATCTTGTGCTGCCCATTTGTCTATCAAAATATAGGCCTAGCCCTATATGCCATATACGCCTAAAGGCGTGGAAAAGGGACCTTTACTCTTTACTTTACACACTGCTGTTATTACTACCAGTAGTCGTAAAAGTAGTAGTAGAGGTATTAATGGTAGCAGCCCGTAGTAGATGGGGCCATAGAAGTAGTACTGAAATAGTTACATTTGCATTAGTGTTAGTAATTGTTACTGTTGTAGTCGAACTGCTGGAACTTTAGGCTCTCGAGCGGGAGACCCGGGTTCGAATCCTCGGTAAGGCTGAGGATTTTTTCTTTCGGGGGCAAAATAAAATCCTGCCTTGCACAGTCGTGGGACAGCACTAGTCACGTGGCCGTAAAACCTAAGGCTCAAAGACAACCCAGTCTACACCGCAAAAATGGTTATATAAGGGCAATAATTTGTAGATTTTATTTTTTTATTTTTGGCACTACTGTTGTAGTGGTAGCTGCTGCGGTTTTGGTAGTATTAGTAGTAATAATAGTTCTTGTACAACAGTAGCAACAGTAGTAATAAAATTAGTAATAGTAATGCCAATATTTACTTTAAAAAAGTAATACAAGAAATACTATAAAAATATTACAAGGTAGCAAAAAATTATTGTAGTTTTAATATAATAATAGTAATGTGATAACCACAATAATATGAACATTAATCACAAAAATAAATGGCCCTAGGTAACTTAAGTTTTAAGACTAACCTGAAGCAGGGTCAGGGCTATCAAGTCTTCGACGCAGTAGTCCATCCTGGAATGTTTGAATAGTGAAAAATAGGACAATGGTCTGTATATATATATATATATATATATATATATATATATATATATATATATATATATATATATATATATATATATATATATATATATATAAATGTGTATGTGTAAATATATATATATATATTTATATATGTCGGCTCTGTGGCTAAGTCGATGCGAG